AACAAATCGCAATCAAGTGATCAAGGACAGACGCAGCCGCCGATGCACTTCCAAACATTTTGTTGACAAAATAAACACGTAACAAGCACATTGATGCACAACTTTTGTTTTTGTGCTTGAATGTCTTTGCTGTGAATTGCCTTGAAAGTCAAAATGACAGTCTGCCATCTTATTCCTAACATACAAAGCGAAATACCAAAAAACAAGCTAACAGGAATTAGCGTAGGTGTTCCGGTTGTTATAAGCATCCTTCTAACTGTACCGGTAAAAGTATTCCAGCCTAATTGAGACACCAGTAATTTTTCCAGAAGTCATTCTGTTTTTTGAGGGGATTGTTCACCTCCACCGTATCCCTCGTTAAAACCTGTATAATACCGCCACCCATCATACTGTGCAACCTCCTCGGCCCTCGTTAGCGTCGCCGCCACGCTTAGCTGATAATTAACGGCAAAGCCGCTCGACGCACTTCTGGCTTCTCATCAGCATTCTCGCCGTGTTTCCGTCGTCTCGGCTACCCGGTCGCCACATTACCTCCTGAGCCTCTCAGGGAGGGAAAGTGCGGAGTAGCGCTGGTGGGAGGGGGCTGTCATTACACGCCATGGCAGATGGCAACGGGGGAGGGGGAGGGGTGGCGGCACAGTGATCATTAACCTGCCGGGCTTGTTTCTATGCGCACCTTGTCGCTTTTAATTTGAAGCCCTCTCCGCTCTTGAGGCACCCAGGACAATTGGCACTTTGCCGTTCTGGGCATGCGAATAGTCCGAGGTCACGAGTCGGGATGCAAACGGAGGCGGTCAATTAAGTTGTCGTTCTGATGACGCGACTCGACCAAAACAAAAGACTTTGAGACTTGATTTTCAGAACGAACGCTCTTTCTCGCGCTACTCTCGCCAAAAAGTCCACCGGGGTGGACCACGTGGACGCTAAATGAAGAACAAGCGGTATCGAAAATGGATGACAGGCGAATCTGTGTGATCTTGGCTAATGTTGTCGGTCAAACTCCTTTGGAGCGCAGATGTTGCGTTTGGTCATCATGACTTTCTCAGCAAATGAGACACTCATCGGGTACTTAGAGGATGTTGAATATTTGGTGTCACCAAACGTTGCCATTTCCAAACGAGTGCCCGGCGTGCTGCATTCTCACGTCATACATTTTAATGATGGCTTTGACTCCATGGCAGCCTCGAATCTCGCAAGCGAACCTGATGTGTCGACATGGCCCCTTCCCAGGAATGAACCTCATTCTGATTAATTACGGCCAATTTGTGCTGACTTTGCACGTGCAGCAGGAAGGACAATGTGACTCATCACAAGCGCATCCGAGAGGGCAAACGGCAGCAGAAGCCTTTTCTTGGCCGCAGCTACTTGTTGCTAGGAAGACTTCAGGGCGCTCAATCGTAGCCGCTAATAATTTAAAAAAACAAAAAAGCCACATTCTTTTGGTGCAATACAGCTAAATTCCCAACGTCGTGATTTTGTATACAGTCGTCCCTTGGCAAGAGATTTTTTGCAATTTCTACAACTGACGTTCTGGGACTCCACGCAAAGACTTGCTAACCTGAGCTAACAACAGCCAGCTACACTCTCATTCGTTGATTCACGTGACACTCAACAGGCCAGCCTCCGCCTTTTTAAACCAGACTGCGTTTGAGCGTTAGGTGCCACAATCTTTCTCAACATGTTGCCAGTGCTCTCCCTCATGATCGATGCGACAAGCCGAAATGCGCCGCCTAATCTTTGTCATCTACTCAAAACCTGTGCTGATATCAAATCCCAAATAATGCAATGCCACCATCGCCAGGGACCTAAATGTCACAAACGAGCTGGGCTGATGGAGTGGGGGCTGCTTGGAAGCTGTCAGAAGAAACAGGCTTGCATCTGGGCTGAAACGGCACACGCGCTCAACAAAAAACAAAAAAAAATGGAGTACAGTTTGCATCCAATAAGCAGCTGTATTTATTCATGAGGACTTATGTGCCACCCTTCATATTTAGCTGCTTTTGGCTATAAAGACCCCCCCCCCACGGTCACCACCAGCGGCAACCCCAGCAGCAGACCTGTCTGAGTTCTTAATTGGCTGAGAACAAAGCATATTTATGGGGTGGGAGGGGGGGGCTATCTGGGGAATCCAATAATATTGTGGGCGACAACAGCATTCAGCACATTTGTTGTGTATTTGTCCAGCGGCGGGGACGCATGCGGAACACGTGCCCGGAGGGGCGCCGAGCGCTGACGGATGAGTGATGGAGAAGCAAAATGAGTGTCACTCCGCGTAACTCGCCGAAGTACAGTGAGTGCAGTCGGCGATGATGCGATCTCCACAAAACAAAGACGAGGTGCGGTGTGGCGGCCGGGTC